ATTTATCTCTTTTTGTCTCTATTTTTCTTTCAAAGATAAAATGTGAATGTTATTCGATATTGTTATTTTTGTCATTTGATATTGTTATTGCCGTGATTTGAAAGAGAATGTTGGTTCGATCAATATTGTATTCATAAAACAATAGTTGGATTAACAAGTAAAAGAAAAAAAAATTCACAAAACCATTTTTTTTTGGTTCGAGAACAAACCAAAAAACAACTCTAGTTTTCTTTTCTTTAGAAAATTTTTCAGCCCACTTGTAATCTCAATATAAAAAAATATCTTTTAATCATCTCAAGTTAAATTATTATACTTTTTAGATATGAGTTGGTTCAAGTAATCTTCAAATAATTTACCTCTAATATTTATATTTTATTTTATTTGTAGAGATGACAACTTTTGTAGTAGAAGTACATCACAATGGTTATTTTATGCATGAGCCGTATTTTCAGTACGTAAGTGGTAAGGTGGATCGTTATATAAATTTTGATCCAGATTATTGGTCTTTCTTTGAGGTAATTGACATTGTTGAACAATTGGGATATTATAATTATTTTAAATTGTGGGGTAGGGATCCAACAAAAGAAGTAGGTGGTTATCGAGTAATAGAATCTGATAAAGATGTTATGGAGTTAGCTAGTCTTCTAAGTGATAGAATGACATTTGAGATATACGTAGAACATGAATGCGAAGATAAAGCAATATTGTTAGACAGTGATAGTGCATTACCTTATATGAGTGGCTGTGAATCTGAATTTAAAGATGATGATAATACATATTTTGATAAGAGTGTAGAGGGAACTTCAAAATCATTGGATATCATAAGAACATATGAGAATGTTGCGAAGAATGATGGAAGTGACATTGGCTCGAGTGACCTAATCTCATTGAAGGACTCGTCTGATTTTGAAGGTAGTGTTGGAACAAAATATCCTATTTATAGAGTAATAACGGGTGATGAGAAACCACACTTTGAACTAGGCATGTTATTTAACTCACTAAGTGAGTTCAAGAATTCCGTAGATGATTACACTGTTAAGGGAGGATGGCATATACGATTTGTGAAAAATGATAAGATAAGAGTTAGGGCCAAATGCATGGATGGTCGTAAATGGTTGGCTTATGTAGCAAAGGTAAAAGGAGAAATGACTTATCAATTGAAGACCTATGTTGATGACCATTCATGTAGTAGATGCTTCAACAATCCGCGCCTAACATCTAGGTGGTTAAGTAAGCAAATATTAAATGATGTGAAGGAACAACCGGATATGAGATCGCGCGCCATCCAAGAAAAGGTACAACGTAAATAGATTTCACAAATTAATAAAATGAAAGCATCTAGAGCAAAGAAATTAGCTTTAGATATAGTGCATGGATCACACAAAGAGCAGTATAATAAATTGTGGGAGTATTATGAGGAGATACGTAGATCCAATCCTGGCAGTAGTACTATATTGAACTTGGATGTGCGACATGAACAGGAAGAGGTTGACGGTCAACCAATTGGTAGAATTAGACAGATCAATGTTTTCCAACGATTTTATATTTGTCTCAATGGATGTCCACGAGGTTTCATTGCTGGTTGCAGGCCATTTATTGGTTGAGATGCTTGCCATCTGAAAGACCCTTATGGAGGACAACGAATTGCAGCAGTTGGAAGAGATCCTAATGACCCATACTTTCCCTTAGCCTTTGCAGTTGTTGAGGCAGAGACTAAGGACTCATGGACTTGGTTTTTGACTAAATTACTCGTGGACATTGAAGGTAAAAAAGTTACATTTATATCTGATCAAACAAAAGGTAATCTTATTATTTGTTAGACTTAAATTATTTAGTTTCTTTTACATATTTGTGACATGTTTATTTTACTTATAATTTCAGGGTTTAGTACCAGCCTTCAGTGAATTAATTCCAAACTCAGAACATCGTTTTTGTGTGAGACATATCTATAGCAACATGAGAAAGAGGTTTCCTGGACAGCAGTTGAAAGAGTTTTTTTGGGGAGCAGCCAATGCAACATATTACAATCAATGGGGGAGGGAGATGCAAAAAATGAAGAAAGTAGATGAAGGTGCATACAAGTGGGTGTTGGCATTTCCTCGTGAGAAATGGAGTAAGCATGCATTTAGATGCGGGTCTAAATGTGATTCTCTAGTTAATAATCTATGTGAGGTATTTAATGCTACCATCCTTGAAGCTAGAGACCAACCAATTATTTCTCTATGTGAATGGATTAGAACTTATCTAATGAAAAAATTTCAAAATAATAGAGAGAAAGTTGACAAGTTTGAAGGCGATGTGTGTCCCAAAATAAAAAAGAAAATTGAGCAAGAGAAATTGCATAGCAGGAATTGGTTACCTGTGTGGGCTGGTGATTTAAAATTTGAGGCTAGGAATGGTTGGGGTGATAAGTTTGTTGTAGACCTTGATGCAAGGACTTGTGGTTGTAGAAAATGGGATCTAACTGGCTTACCATATCATGATGTCATTAGTTGTATTTTCTATAAAGGATATAAAGTTGAGACATATGTTGAAGATTGCTATGAAAAGAAGGCCTACATTGCATGCTACAAGCCTCTTATTTACCCAACCAATGGTCCAAACTTGTGGACAAGTACAAATTTCACTATTATTAATCCACCTCATCTTAGAAGAGCTCCTGGTAGGCCAAAGAAATTAAGAAGAAGAGAGCCTGATGAACCCAAAAAAGGTAGCACAATTGGTAGAAGAAGATTATCTATGAAATGCAGTAAATATAACCAATTTGACCCCAACAAAAGGAGTTGTAAAGGGCCAATTGATAAAAAAAAACTTCTACAGGTTAGTAATTCAAATAACTCTTGACTTAAATTTTATTTCTATAATATCATGGTTGTAAATCTAATCTTTTTTTTTCTTACTTCTTAACAACTTTGTAGGGAAGTTCGTCATCTCAAACCATTCAAATGAATAAACGGTCAAAGTTGCCTATAAAAGTTCGAAGAGAGTAAAACTTTTAATTGAGATTACTGAGATTAAGCTACTTATAGATTTTTACAATGATAGATGTGAAAGTCTGAGAAACTAGTTTGTTTTGTTATGACACTAGGATTTTGGAAAGAAGTATTTTTTGTAATATCAGTTGTGAAGATTTTTTTTGTGATGACAGTTACGCTGCAGATGTTTTTATATTTTAAAGTGACTTACTATGTGTTTTGTGTTCTTTATCCATACTCAAATATTAGAGACTGAGATTTATGTTTAGTAAATCATTTATTGGAGTAGTGAATATGATTAGTGCTAATGGATTAATATTGCAATTATGATATCATTCTCAGAGACCCAAACTAAAAACAAATAAGAATTAAGGAACATGATTGTACTTACTTATTTGTTTGTGTAGTGGACAAACTATCATCAATTTTAAACATTTTAATCTCTTTGACAAAAAGGAGGCGAGCATTGCACAAGTACTAAACTAAAATGAGTTTGATCTATGCCAAGGTTTGAATCTAAGGTTAAAAAACAGACTAGAAAACTGAATATACAATGAGTATGATGTATATTTTCTATATTATTCCCAAAAAAAAATTTGATCAAATACAAGCTGCTCTTTCTGTTTTAAAAGAGATTGCAGAAAGAATAACTAATGGTTAAATGTGTAAGTGTTGCTATCCAATAGCTGGTGGATGTGCTGGAGGCTTCACTGATGCTCCTAATGTTGTCGAGTCGTGATAAATTATTGAGATACGGTAGGGTGTTTGAGATGCAACGACTCATCTCCTTTAACCAAGTATTTTCTCTAAAACGTAAACCCCTCTGTAAGTTTACAATGTTTATTAATTTGAATTTGATATTCTTCAAACTTCTTGGCAATTACCTACAGAAATCAATAACAACTTTAGTACAAAATTGACGAACTTAGAAAATTTATAAACATAGTATTGGGTATGATTGCATTAACTTCGTCAAAGAAAATCAAGAGTCAACTCAGAAATATGGTAACTAACATATGCTACTTTAAAAACTCACATTTTTTTAAACTCACACTTGAAAAAAAAAATTATTAGTCAGAACAGAGATAGACACCAAATAGTCAATCATTCGATGACATGCCACGACTTCGAACTCCAGGCAAGGCATATCCAAATATCCAGTTCAGGAATTGTGATGCCTAAGAGGACATGAAAATGAAAATAGGGATAAAAACTTGCCAGACGCCATGTCCATGTTTATGTTCAAAATATAGATTAAATGGCAAGCTAGAAAGTCTTTGACACTCTTACGAAGATATGAATTCTAACCCATAATGAGACCGGTTGCAATTTGATTTAATTTGAAAATTCCTCCAATGAAATCAAATGTCAAAATTATAGAATTAAATGAAGAGTTGCAGTTAGAGTGGTTGGTGATGGTTTAGAACTCCAGCTCGAAATGAATCTTAATCATCTACGAACTAACTAAACACAGAGCTGTTGCACTAAAATTTTGACCAATTTAACTGTTAAGCTAAAATAGTAGAGGAAGATGATCATTGGAGAAAATTAAAACAGCTCATGTATCTTATTGAGAATGAGAAAAATCCAACAAAATAAAAGAACACGAACATAATCAAATGCCTAACTTAGAAAAGAAGAAAGAACATGTCACATATCGTTCCGGCAACTCTCTTGTTCTCTTCGGGAAAAATAGCCGGATACACACGTCCTTTAATGCTAAATCTGTGACTGCAAATTCAAAACAACAAATTTTATCCCAAATTGGCGCATGTAATCCGTAAACGATAAGACGATGAACATTCAAAAGCAACATGGCAGGCTCCTTTTGTTCATTAGTTTAGAACCAATTATGCATTAAACAACAGTATTTATTAACCTAAGAAATTAGGAAATCAGATTCGTACAAAAAATCGCTCCAATCATTTTCGATCATTCTCATTTAAGAAGAAGCAATAAAGCGACTATGGATAGAAAAGAGTTGGTAAGAACAGATGACTAGCCATTGAGAACAGTAGATGACGATTGAGGAATGCGCCTCAAGAGAACACGAACGACATCATCTGCTAAGAGACTTCCATAGACGAAAATGTTGTGAAGGTTGTGCAATTTATCGGAGGAGAAGCCGCAACCACGAGCGACGACGGCACCGTCGAACTCATCCTTTGCCGGAAGCGCGATTGAGAGAGAATTGTAGATTATCCATTCCACGAATTTTCTTTCTTTCTTCTTTTTCTTTAAGCCTTAAACCTAATCAAATTTGAACCAAACCTAACTTGAACCGACCCATAAATATGTACACATGGCTTTGTAATATGTACACATGTATCCTAGTTGGCGGCTATGCCAATTTTCTGTTAAATCTAACTTTAACATTTAACGGTATGGACTAAATCGTTACTAATTTAAAATATAGGGACTAAATCGTTACTTTTGAGAGTTCAGGGACTAAATTGTTACTTTAACGAAAGTTTAGGGACTAAATGTGCTTTTTAACCTTTTACTTTTTATAGAAAAGATATTTATCTGCTTCAAGATATGAATTTTTTTAGGAAAAAAATGTGAACAATTTTGTATTGGTATTTCAATTACTTTTCCAAACCAACGAAGGTATAAATGAGAAAACGACTAAAAATACACCATTTCATTAGGAAACATATTAAAAATAAAATCTTGGCCACCCGATATATTGATCTATACCCTCAAGAATCCAAGAAGATCGGCCTCCCAATATTTCAAGGTTCCATCGTTGGGAAATTTCCTTCTGAAAATTTAAGTTAAAAAGTTTTGATAAAATTCAAAAATCTCCACCAAATAATATTGTGATGAAAATTACATAATATATACATATTCGTCAATATTATATGCGTATTCCAAATAAACATGTTAGAAAAATTGGACCAAACAAATGTGATGTTACAAGGAAAAATAGTATAAAATTAGCAATGGAGATAAATGAATAAAAAAACCAAAAACAAAAGAAAATATGCAAAGAAAAAGTAGTATAAAGTATGAATGAATCAAAATTAAACTTGCAATTATAAAATGACTAAAACAAGACATTACCATAGGGGTGAACATTCATCATCGAAAAACGGCCTCAACCGACCAAAACCGATCGAACTGACATTGATCGGTCGGCTTTAGCCATAGTACGATCAGCATCGATTTTGCAAACAGACTAGTAAGTCGGTCGGAGAATGAGAAAGAAGATACTGGACCGAAACCGAACGACTATTCATATATTATTAAAAAAAAGTCATTCAATACTTGTCAACTCATGCACTGCCACACGTCACTACCATTAATATGGACCACTCTTCATGCACTACCACATGTAGTTTGAGTTGGCTGGTTTTCTCAAAACCACCCCATATTTTCTTTTTGTTTAATATTGTGTCTTCCTCTCTCTTCACTCCCATTTTCCATCACCCCTCTGTCTTACCTTCCCTTTTTCTCCACTGCAATAACTTTCTTCTAAAGGTTATTTTGTCCTCCCCTCCTCCACCATCTCTCCCTTCTCCTTTCCCTTCTTCCCATCTTCTCTCAGAAGTACAAGGAACCAGTGTTTTCCTTTTGTCGGCTGTCCCTATCTCGCTACAACTCAGGATCCTGCTCGCCGCTCAGTCCCGCAGCAGCCCCACCCACATACCACACTCGCCAATCGCCCACACTGTCACTGTAGCCCTACTCAATGGTCATTTGTCGGAAACTGACCGACCGAAGCATCTGTTAGTCGGTCGGTGGGAAAACAACTTTGATGGTCGGTCAGTTTCCATTTTTGATAACCGAAAGTGTATCGATGAACACCCCTACATGACGAAATAAACCAACCTATGTTGATTTTTTATTTGAGGAAAACATGAAAACTTACCACCTTAGAAACAAACTTGGATTTTCCCCTCCTTATTCGCTTGTGGCGAAAGGCAAAGTTGAAGCACACAATTGTGGTGAAAAGAACCATTGAAAAAAAAAATTGAGAGGAAGTAAATAAGGAGGAAAAGAGGAAAATAAATGAAAACAAACATCTAAAAAAACAAAAAGAGTTATGGTGGGTGGAAGAGAGAAAAATGTTTAAGAAGAATATTTGAGAGTGAAAGAGAACAAAGAGAAAAAAAATAAAAAAATAAAAAAAAGGAAAAAAATTTAAAGAAGAAGAGAGAGAAAAAAATTGAAAGAAGATGAGAGAAAAAGAAAAGAACGAAGAATAGCGGGAGTGATAGAGAGAAAACAAAGAGAAAAAATTGAAGGACAGAAGAAAAAGAGAGAGAGACCGAGATAGAGAGATAACGAGAAAAAAAAAAGATTGAGAGAGAAATTGTAGGTTTTTTCGTGATGTGTTCTCAGTCTCCTCCCCCCTACCACTTATTTATAGTCATTTCAAAACCTTGATCAATGCCACTCTTTAGTCGGAAGCCCTAGCCTATGTCGTTGGCAGTCGTATGTCAAAAGAGGTATTGGACGTGCTCGAGAAACACTATTCATCAAAATCCAGAACTAATGTCGTTAATGTTAAGACTCATTTACAGTCAATTACGAGGAAGTCTAAAGAATCAATTGATGCTTATCTTAAAAGGATAAAAGAAATCAAGGATAAATTGGTCAATGTCTCGGTCATTGTTAATGACGAACATCTGCTCTTTTACACTCTTAATGGTCTTCCAGTGGAGTACAATACTCTTCAAACTTCAATGCATCCTAGATATAAATTTGTGTCTTTTGAAGAACTTCACGTTTGTCACAACGTCATCGTGACGCGGAGCAACCGGCGTCGTCCTCTGAACGGTCTCTTTCGAGATAAGGGTTTGGAGTCGCCACCAATTATCTACGAGGTGTGATTGGTCACCTATTTAAAAAACTTGGTCTGCTAAAACAGAATTTTTTGTTCGGGAATCGACTGAGCGTAGGGAAGGTGTTAGCACCCTAGGACATCCGTTCGAAAACGGTACCACATTTTATCATAAATTTCCTATTATTTTATTTGGTCTAAGAAAAAAATATTTTTGTGTTTTAATTGAAATGTCTCACGTTATATTAATTCACACTTTGTTATAAGATATGAATTAATATGTAGGAATTGCATGAAGGCCATTAGAAAAATTTTATCACGTCGAGAATATTGGAAGGTTCCAATTTCCATTATTGGAATTTTCGAAATAATTATTTAGTAAAAAAAATGGGTTCGATTTAACCGAATGATAAAATGCAACGCACCTGGTTTTAACATAGGCTTCGACCTCGACTTGGATCGGGTTCGATTTAACCTAATGATAAAATGCAATGACCTTGCATTAACACAAGCTTCGACCTCGACTTGGATCGGGTTCGATTTAATCGAATGATAAAATGCAACAGACCTGGCTTTAACACAGGCTTCGACCTCGACTTGGATTAGGTTCAATTTAACCGAAGGTAAAATGCGATGGACCTGGCTTTAACACAGGCTTCGACCTCGACTTGAATAATTTAACCAAATGATAAAATGCAACGGACATGGCTTTAACACAGGCTTCGACCTCGATTGGGATCGAGTAAGATTTAACCAAATGAAATAAAAATGACCAAGCTTGCGAGCTCCACTTGGACGGAAGGATGACCTTGAGGATCAACTGAAATGTGTTGAGCAGGAGACCTGCAAGAGAAAACACTCTAACGCCCAAGTCAGGAAGAATCTGAGTTGTATTTGAGAGAAAATACAGTGTTCACGTACCTGAGATAGAAGCAAATGGTTTTTATAAATAGGCAAGGTCTCCGACAGGATTCCCGAGAAGGCCTTAACTGCTCTTTAAGGTAAACATGAATCACGGCGGCGTGCTGTCATGGAGTTTGTCGGAATATGTGGCTGAGCAAGACACATCTAGGTCAGTTCAAACAAAGAATGAGAAAGACGCAAAAAGAGATCTTGGTCGGCTCGGCCATAACGGGCATCGGCTTGGTAGACAGTCGAAATACCGAGGTGATAAAACTTGGTTCACAAACTTAAAGTGTAAGGACCGTTTGGAGTTAAAAAAAATAATTAATAAGAAAAATTGGAATAAGGGCATTTTGGTCGTTGGATAAAAAAAGAAAAAGAAAAAGAAAAAGAATTTTTATTTTTGTGTTTAAAAAGAAATTGGGAAATTAAAAAAAAATGAGGTGCAAGTGTGTGTGGTGTAAGAGGACACGTGGTGGTAAGGAAAATTAGATAAAAAAAAAGAAGAGGAAAGGAAAAGAAAGAAAATAAAGGAAAAGAAAGAGAACGAAAACGAAAAAGGTGGAAGAAAAGGGGATCTTGGCGATTTCAACCGAAACACAAGGAAGAGGAAGAAATTGATGGTGATTGTGATTGTGAGCCAGATTGAAGAACCAACCTTAGAAGTGGTAATTAAAGTTGTTTTTATTTGAAGGTTTGGGAAGAAATAGGGGTTGAAGAGAAATAGTTTATGAGTTTGTTGTTTTGCGTAAGAAATCTCTTGAAATAGGTGTYGAACTTGGATTTCTGGTTTATGTGAATATGCGTATCGATGAGTTAGCTTCAATTTATGCGTTTTGGTCACAKATCTGGATTGGTATAGTTTGCAGAAGAAGCTAAAAAAAAAGAAATGGAGGGGAAGAAGCCATTATATGGTGGTTTTGGGTTAAGGAACAAGATGATGAATAGTACAGAGGGTGGTTTTTAAATTAAATAAAAAAAAGAAAATGTTGGAAAAATTGGGCTATTTGCGTGAAATGGAGTGAAGAGAGAAATTTAATGGGTTTGGTGGGACGCACTTGTAAGAAGAAAAAGTAGTGAGTTTTTAATGAAGAGAGAGAATGGGGAATTTGGGGCAATTGGGTTATTTTAAAGTTATTGTGATTAAAGTTTCAATTAAGTTATGTTGAAATTGGAATTAAGTGAAATAATTTGGTATTAAATCGATATTTCAGGTCAAGCGGAAATTGGAACAACGTACGACTCCCTTAAAGGATTTGTGAGTGGTTGTTTTATTAAATGTTTTGGATATTATTATTGGAATTTGTGAGTGATTACTTTACTAAATGTTTTGGTTATTATTGGAATTTGTGAATGGTTTATTTTGGAAATGTTTTTAGAAGGATATCATGATAGAATTTCAAGAAAGTACATATATTATGTGTGTTTTAGCATTTCTGTTGAGAAATTGTTTTTGCCGAGAATTTAAAAATGTTTGGAAAATTTATAAATGTTTCTGAGAATTTAGAAAATGACTCTGGTTGTTTGAGATTTTAGAAATGTTTTAGAATTTGGAGAAATGATTTGTGGTTTAGGAATATGTTTGAAGTTTATCGAAATGTTGCTAGAAAGAGTGATTTAGAAATATTTTTAGAATAACTGTTTATGATAAGAATTAGAAATGTTTTATATTTTCAGTGGATTGTACGAAGTTTTTAGAAAGAAAGATTTCCGAAAGATTTTGAGAAACTATTATGAAGTGTTATTAAGATCGAGAGATTTCATAATCGTTTGAGGAATAGAATTTTGTGAAATGATCTTAGAAAGAAAGATTTGAAAAAGTTAGAAAGGAATATTTTAGAAATGATTGAGAAAGAAAGAAAAATTCTTAGAAAGAAGAATTTTAGAACCGTCTATGAGATTGAGAATTTTATGTAAAAATAAGTTTTCAAACCACCATAATGTTGTATCCAGGTGATTACCCGTATGCTATGTGAATGTGTTTCTATCGTATACCCAGAAATAGAAGGTCTTTGGGACCATTTTACTCCACGTGTTGAGAGAATTATTCTGCTGTGTATATTGAGATTACTCTATGCCAGTAGACCAGAAATAGAATTATTCTACTGTGCGTATTGAGATTACTCTACGCTAGTAGACCAGAATAGAATGTGGATACATGTGTGGTGTTGAGTTTTCTGAACCTATTTATTGGTTGAAAGAAAATGTTTTATATGATATTAGAAAATGTTTTCCTAGTTCTGTTTAATGTTTCAGGAGAACGATTTACAAATTTATTTAGAGAATGCGTGCTGTTACACGTTTTTTATGAGAAAGTCTTTATGAGTTTTAGTTTCTCAAGTTTTATGAGATTTAATGAGAATATTTATTAGAACGGTTTTATAAGGTTTGTTTTGCAGAACTTTGAAGCTTCGGTTGTTTATGAAAAAAGTTTTACAATATATATATTTTTTTGTATTAATTTATCACTCACTTAGCTTTTCAGCTCATTCTTTACCCTTTGTTTTCCCCCAGGTTGTATCTGAGTTTCAAAGAGAGAATGGACCAGCTTCTGCCACCCAGAGTCGTTAAGAAATTGCATATCATTCGTAGTTACATCCTGAATAGTGTATCTAGAAGGAATTTAAGAATAGAAGTGATGTTAAAAGTTGGTTTAAAAGTCTAGAAGTTTTTCGGCTATATACTCTGCACCTAGTGGGGTCCATGGCCGGCGCGGTCTGTTCTTGAACCAGTAGGTGTTCTAGGACGGGTTGTGTCATAAAGGCACATATGTTTTTCTCTTCCAATAAGGATGTGTCACATGTGAATTCAACAGATAATGTAATTTTCCGAAAAAGCTGGAGTTATTTGATTTATTAGAAAGTTCTTGACCTGAGTGCAGGTTTAGAAATCTTCCTAAACGTGCCTAAATGTATGAGATGCGCACTTGACGCATGATGATAAGGTTAACAAAAATCACGTGTTCATGAAAATGAGAACTTCAAATGGTAGTGTACAATACTTATCGTGAATGATGTTTACAAGAATGACGGTGCATGTACAAATGTGCACTGCCCCAATGTCATGAATGACAAACGATGCTCCTTTTATTTTCTATTTATTTTTTATCACTTGACAATGTGTGACAACATATAATCTATTTTTTATTTAGCTTAACCAACGAATTTGACCCTCAATACATGATGCAATAATGTATATGCCTACTAAAAGCTAGATGGATGCAATATGTATGCATGATACTCATTTTTATTTTGGTTCCACAATAGAATGTATCTATGAATGCACAATTAATGG